TAACTTATAAAGATCTATAATATGTTATGGCATTTTTATAGATAATATTAATTATAATGAATATAATATAGTAAGCTTGTATATATTATCAACATATTTGTAAAATATCAAATAAATAGAAAAATGTTTTGGACATTACCACATGGACATATCAATATGGTAACATTATTCCAAACTGTTCACCACATATGCACATAATCATGTAATTTACATAATATTCCTTCAATTTCCTTGAACTAAGGTAAAATAATTACAAATGAACTGCAATGTCTAAATCAGCTGATATGATCAAACTTTGTGTAGTGCAGGTGTCACTAGACCAACTTCATACTAGTACAAATATATATCTGATGGCTTCAAAGTGTACTTCGTAAATTTACGAAAATATGACGTAATTTCACTTCTCTTGCAAGTAATAGCAATAGTGAATGTAGGAATGCCACTGTGGAATTTCATTCGTGATATATTTCTTGGAAAAAATTCGGATGAACCCAGAAATAAAGGGTAATGTTTATTAAAAATTTGTAATATTAAGTAAGAAATGTCAGTCCCATATGATAGTACTATTTTGACAGTTCTAATGTGTTAATTGTGTTTTCTTTTTGTTTCGTAAACAGATATACATTCAATACAAACTCGTAAAACATTTCAGGTTCTTCGATGACCAAGATAGAGCTAACAGAGATAGTTTTAGAAACCCAATTTGGCAAAATGATGAAGATGATGATGACATGGAGGACTTTAGGTAATTAAAATTTCATATATAATATCTGAAGTCCAATTCTATACATTTTGCATACAGTTTAGAATGTTGCATATTTTAAAACATTTATGATTACTAAGTTTATAGTTTACATTTGTAAATTGTAGGCATTCCAGGGGAGGTGTTCATTTCCACATATTCAACGATCCCTTAGAAATTACAAGACAGTTTGAATCACAAATAGATAATTTAATGAAAAGCTTCTTTGGATTTCACCATGAAGGTACTTTTATTTCATTTTCATATGTATATATATAATAAACTAATTCCAATTACATATAAAATATGTATTCTCAGAAAATATGTTCTCACCTGCACTTCCACCACCACAAGAAGGAAATTTGCGTGAGGAAATGTTAAAACGTAATAGTGACGATTTTAGTGAAGTAACACCAAAGGAGGATATAAATTTGGATGGCAAGTTAGTATTACAATATAATAAAATCTTTCGTATGTCAATGTTAGTAAGTAGTTAAAATATATGTTTTATTAATATAAACAGGGTAACACCAGACAATTTTTCTAATATATGGAATACGTATAATGAACCAAATAGATTTAAATCAACAACAGTTTTCATGACAAGAAAAGAGTTCATCCATAAACCAGATGGCACAATAGAACAGAAACAAATAATTAAAGACAATGAAGGAAATGAAGAAACAACCATATCACGACAAATTGGTGACAAATTACATACTATCACAACAAAAAAAGATAAAAATGGTGTAGAGACAAAAACAGAGGAATTAATTAATATTGATGAAAGCAAGTAGATTATATGTAAAAATAAAGCAACATATTGTACGTGTTCAACATTATATATAATTACCATGGGTTTTAGGTGAATTGAAAGGAAACAAGTGGTTACTGCCCAATGATAACAGTAGTAACAGCCCTAATATAAGTTGGAGTTACTTTCCTTGGAAACAATTTTTTAAACCAGATCCAAAATTGTAGTTAAACACAGTGAAATTAGTAATTTCCCTATAGAAAAATATTGACAAATGGCTAATGGTATATATTATTTTTTTTTTCTTTTCATATATTAAAATTAAATTTTAAATCTTAGCTAGCCTCTTCTAAATTTCGTTTATTATCTTTATTATATCCGTATTATTATAAAACGTTCCATAGCTCCATGTCAAGTTGCTACATAAATACCTACATACTCTTTCCTTTACAATTTATTATGACAATTTATTCTAACCCTTTTGGATACTGTATGTTATTGTAGAAAACAAAGCGTAAAAATAAAAAAATTGCAATTTTAACTTAATATGTGTTATAGGTAGTATTGCGACTTTCACAAGCGAGCAAATAAAAATAAATAAATTACAATCTCTCGCAAGTACTCTTCTCGCCAAAAATTATTGTATATACTAAAAACAAAAATAGAACAACGCATTATAGTAGCGCTTCTTTTTCTTCTGTTTCATACAATAGAATTTAATTGCCACAGTAACGTAACTTGAAACACTATCTCCCGAAGTTCTGCAATTTTAAAACAAGAACAATAAATTATCTAATTCATTCACCTGCACTTAATTCTTGTTTCCTACTTAATGTACATGTTTTGTAACGTTTGTTATTCCAACATTTTTAATTCTTACATTGAAAATAAGAATGTAGATTTCGATTTCGTAAATTGTTTCTTTATTACCGCCCTCTACGTCCGTTTGTCTTGTTCTTACATCCGGTGTTGGCGGTCTCTATGCGCCATTTTCTCTTTACGTCTGATATCAGTGGCATCATCACTGCATGCGACGTTAACGAAGACACTATAACGTGACTTTAAGGAGGAATTCTGCAATCTTTTTTACGGTCTTCATCATGGAAAATCCAAAACGTGCACCTATTTCTGTGCTCTCAATTGAGAAAAAGATAGAAATTTTACGACATTTAGAAGGCGGCGTTTCTGTGCCAAGAATTGCCAATGAGTATAATATTCATCCAAGTACGGTGCGAAAAATTCGCCGTCGGGGAATGCCTGCTTATCAGGGAGTTGATGTACGAACGAGGAAAAGAATTCGAAAACCACGATACGAAGATTTAGATATAAAATTATATTTGTGGTTCGTGCAATCAAAAACCTTAGGAATTCCAATTACGGATCTTTTGTTGCAAGAGAAGGCACTCCAAATAAGCCAGGAACTTGGAAATTCATCGTCGTTCAAAGCTAGTCACGGTTGGCTTTGGAAATTTAAAACTCGGCATAATATACGTTTGCTAGATAATGAAAAAGACTGTGCAGATGGACCAGCCGCTGAGAATTTCACGAAAGAATTTCACAAGAAAATTGAAAGAGATGAATTACAATGGGAGCATATTTATAATATGAGCGAAACTGGACTTATATGGAAAGCAATTCCAGCTAAGTCGTTATTGCATTGTGTGGAACAAAAACTGGAGGGGAAAAAATTACGTAAAGATCGTGTCATTGTTTGCTTATGCACAAATGCAACTGGTACGCATAAATTGAAACCAGTAATCATCAATAAATTTAGGAATCCAAGAGCATTAAAGTATTATAGACATCAGATGCCTGTTGTATATAAATCTCAACAATTTGGATCATCGATGGATCATAGAACATTTATCGACTGGTATGTTAATGATTTCAAACCAGCTGTACAAAGATATCAATTAGAACATGGTATACATGAAAGAGTTGTTCTCATATTAGATGATTGTTGGAGGAATAAATTGGTATCAACAGAACGCCGTGTAGATGATCAATTTCAAATTGTGTTCCTACCACCACAGACTACCACCCTCCTGCAGCCCATGAACCAAGGCTTAATAACCAAAGTAAAAAAAACCTTTAGGCATAAAATGTTGTGTCGATTAATAGCATCCAGTGGATTAAAAGAATTTTATAGCAAATATACACTTCGAGATTGCATACAACTATTACATGAAACATGGACAGAACTTAATCCTAAGATTATTAGAAATTGTTGGAATAACATAACAAAGTTTTCTGAGGAAATAATAATGAAAGAAGAGCCTGTTGAACATGATGAACATTTAGAGGAGACAGATCATACATATAGCGATAGTAAACAATATGTTCATAACATGATATCAGCAATAAGAGAACCTGACATAAATACTTCTGATGATGATGAAGCTCAAGTTGAAGAAGGTGGAGAAGTATATGTAGAGGAAAGAGAAGGAGAAGAACAACAATTGGGGAAAGAAACAGAACATGAAATAGAAGTAGAAGACGAAATTAACGGACTTGAGGCAAACATATACAGACAAAATGATATTCAGTTTGAGATAACAGAAGCTTTTGAAATTTTAAAGAGACATGCAGTAGGAAGACCACAATATTTGAGGACTTTATTACAAGCTCTAAAACAAGCATTAATCAGAGAAGGAATTTTGAAAAGTACTAAATATATGTAGAATGCAGTATGTAAGTTTTTATTGCTTTAATTTAAACTGAATTATTTGAAATTTTTTATATGCATAATTTGCAGGGCAAGTGGAAAGAAATGAGAAGATATTTGTTAATGAAATAATGCATAGCTGAAAACAATTTTTTCAAAAAAGAAAGGTCCAAGTTATTATTCTGAATTTATTTATTTAATGACAATCGTCAGTCTTAGTTAATAACTCTCCATCGAGTTTACCCGTTTATTCTATGTTGTAGATGCTATTTATATTAAAATCAAAAAGGAAAATTTAATCTACATATACATGAAGATAACAGTGATAAAAATTTATTTGAAGGTCTTGTCACACGGATTTAAGTAAGTCTGTAACTACAATAAACATTAAGATAAGCTAATACAAAATTTGAAAACTAAGTCACAAAGTAATTTCTTATCTAAAACGCAATTTTTTTTATATAATTTAGAAACACAAGAATGCACCATGGATGTGGCTGTGGATTGTTGTTGAGGGATGTTGTCGGCTGAGGACAATGATTAATATATTTACCTAAATTAATTTATTTCGAATAGTACCTAATGTTACATAAATTAAATGATTTTATACATATAGTGCCTCTCGTTATGCGGGTATCGATAAGTATTGCATTATTGCTTGTATTATATTCTCGTTAAATAAAAACTGAAAAATATTTTACTATTACAAATTTTAACGTTTAAATGAATATTCCGATAATTTGTGATGCGTTTGCTTATATGTAATTGTTTGTATGTACTAAAAATCTATTTCAGATTATTAACAAGTTAAAATTACAGTTTGACATTTTTTACTTTTATTTTATTTTGGCTCCTAAAATATTTAATGTAGGTTATACAAATGTTACAACTATGTAGATGTGAAATGATAACCATTTGTATAAAGTACGTACATACCTATTTTAGTACTAAAATAACTCGAAAGAGGGTATTTGTGCTGTTTATTCAATTTTTCGTCTGAAAATTTGACATATTCGATTTTATTTAAGGAATTCCTATATTCATAATGATACTGAGTTGTACTAAACAATACTTCATGTATGCTAATTTAATTATCATTTCAATTTTTCAAAATGTGGTTTGTCA